GTGAAGCAAGTTGACCTGCCTACCTCCTCTCCAGTGCCACCTTGCCTACTAAGTAGAAACTATGGAAATCACAAGGGTCTGTCTTCATTTTTTTTGTATATCCTTTTATTGATACATTTTAGGTATACAATATAATGACATGCATCATTGGAGATATGCACCTTTGCATACTCTCTTGGTTCTTATTTTCACAAGAGTCGGTCTTAAAGCATCCGTCATTCCTCATCCTAGACAAGTTCCAGCTAAAGAAAATGCCAGAGCAGTGACTCTCAATGAACAAGTGACTTTGAACTTAGCTTAACTGCAGTGGGCAGAACACTGACCTGGAACGTCAGAAAGCCTGGCTTCTAGGTCAAGGCCTACTGTCATTGACTTGCTACATGACCTGGCCACATTTCCAGATAGGCAGATTGAACACTTGCTTAAGCCACCAATAGCAGGAGTACAAAAGAGAGATGGGGAGGAGGGGAGAAAGAATCTAGTAAGGAGCTATTTTAATTTCAACATATGAGTTTTGAGTCATTTCATAAAAGTAATGTTTTATTTGAAAGTTTCTATTCCTTTCATTTAAGATTACATATGGGTAAGCCCTAAAATCTTTTCAGCACTAGGGGTTACTAAAAGTCTTGATCTAGCTAGTGACTTTGGACAGGTCCCTTCCTCTTTTGGACCTGAGTTGTCAAATGCTATGATGTTCACAATGGATAGTTGACTGAATCATTAGTGTCACATAGTGTAAATAAACTCACCCAAGCCAGAGAAGTACAGACAGGGACAAATGATGTCAATGTTTCCTCCTAAAACCTAATCAATTTCATCAAGATCAAAGTTGAGCGCAAGAACCATAATTTGAATCTTCTCTGATTATTTTATTATTCTGACACCTTGAAATTTTTATCACATTAATAGTTCAGGTCTCTAAAAATTGAGAAGATTAAGTTTCTTGTTTCCAAAGTGGGAAAGAAATTCTAGTGGACATTTTGATGCACAAATTTCCAGGGAAGATGTTTTCAACACATGGAAATACCACAAAGAAGACCAGGAATTTCACGGTATTTAAAAGAAAATGGCAAGTGGAGAAAAAAGAGAAGAAAGAAAATGTGTTTCCCCTCCTCCTCTTGTCAACCTACTGTCCCAAGAGCCTCTGGGGATGAAAGATAGGGCAGAGACAAAATGAATCCTGACAAAGTATCTGTCCCAAGTCCCAAAAAGATCCTCCATGCTCCATCCAACTCAAGAGGCCATCTCCTCTCCTCTTTCTGTTTTTTTTTTCAATTTTTATTTTTATTAGTACATGTTTAGATAACGATCACATTTCTCGTGGGGAATTGGTGCATGTACATAACACATTTCAATTCTTTTCTTATGCTCTTCTCCTCACCTCCCTCCCAATGCCCTGCTCTTTAGCAAAGATAGTCACATTCAAAGTGTACACACCTCATCCAGTGACAAACCATCTGCAGTTTGAAGATGTAGTTTTCATTTTTTTCATCTCCATGTGGATTTACAACAGTCTTCCCTCACCCTAGAATTATGATGTGAACCTCAACAAACCAGTGTCCTTTCTGATTTGGAGCCAGAGTTGCCACAAAGTTGGAAAATTAAGAGGTAGGAATTTTATACAAAGATGAAGAGGGAGTTTCCACCATGGGCCCCACTAGCTGTATTCAAGCAAGAGGGAACAGAGCATCTTTCCCACAGCAAGTTCATGAGCTAGTGTAAAATGATAGCTCTCCAGTGTTATTAAACATATCTACAGTCATTTAGTGCTTTGGGGACTTCCTGTATCTCAAAGGAGATATTATACTCCTAGGCTGATGGCCTAATTGCTTCTGCAATTATCATCTAAACACTTACAAACATTAAATAGATCTCAAAGGGAGGAGTTGGAAAGCTTGGATTGACTCAGCATATGGCAGCAGGCATGGAGCTATTTCCCACAGCCTTTGACCGTACCATTCTTGAGATGAAATGCAGAGTACAGGCCATAGATGCCATAAAATGGTCACATCCAAAACCAGATGTGGAGGAAAACTCAATTTACAGGTAGTACCATGCCCAGGGTGTGGCAACTGTCATGGATCCAGAACCAGAGAGGCTTGATGCAGTCCTGAGTGCATCATTTCCCCTTCCGCTTCCAACACCCATCCCATGCCAGTTATAAGAACTTCTAGGGCACTCTCAAAGGGGTTCAAGTTACCAAAGATCAGCCTTCAGCGGCCAAGAGGGTGTTGCCAGGAAACAAGGGCAGCCCAGTCCCACCCTTGCAACCTAGAAGATGGTAGGGGCATGACCTGTGATAGTAGAGAATCACTTGAACTCCTTTATCATCCACTTTCTCTTCTATCATCTCCTTTTCCTCTCCCTGTCCTCTCTCTGCTGCTTCCTAGGGCCCCAGCTCTGCCCGCAAGCTGCGAGTGTGACATGCCACTACTCAGTCCCTCCATGGCAGCCAAGTTGTCCCTGCAGGGAAGCTACAAGCTGTTGACCTGTCAGCTGTCATTCACTCAGGCCATGTTGCTTCTAAACCTTCCTTGCTCTTTCCCTGCCCCCATGGTTGAAAGAAATAGCCAGAGGAAGAATATGGAGGGAAATTCAGTCAGTTGGAAGATACATAGGGTAAAGTGTTGACCAGAAGCGCTGACTCCCAACAAAATGATCAGTAAAGGAGTGGAAGTACCAGGAGGAAAAGATACTGGGAAAAAGAAAAGAAAGACCTGAGAATGTCTAGATTTAGGGGTGTTTGTTTGTTTATGGTCAAAATCTAATATTCAGCCTGCTGGACACCTTGTTGAAGCTTATGACTAAGCAACAAGGGAGTGCCAGATGGTACAGTGATTATACTCCTCGATTCTTTTTCCATTTGGCACTTATCTCAGACCATTGCTAAGAAGGCCTAATTTAAGTGCTATGCCATCACAGCTCCTGAAGAGAAAAGTGCATATTAGGAACTTCAAGGGGAGTCCAGGCTAGGGCATCAGACCAGAAAATAGAAAATCTGACCCTTTTGCCAACTTACAGAAAGTAGCCATGTTCCATTTATGCAGCAGTGTGCGGGGGGGTAGGGGCACCCTGAGCTGAACAACATGTATATTCTCAAAGGCAAATGGTCATGCTAAAAATGAGAGATGGCCTCTCTCCCAGATCTGGCACACTTCCAAGAAGCCAAACCAATGGCAAGTTATATTGAAAATTGTTCTTTTCCGTGCCAGGGATTTAGCTCAGTGGTGCTCTACCTGCCTCGCAAGTGCAAGGTCCTGAGTTTGATCTCTGGTACCGCAAAAAGAGAAAAAAAAAGGTTCCTTTCCTTTAAAAGACATCTATTACATAAATCCATCTCTTTCTAACCATAACTGGAAAGGGCTAGGGCCATAGGTGACTTGGTGAAGCCATGCCTTCCCTCCCATGGAAAGGGCTGGTTGATTCAGTGGACAGAAAGGTAGAAAAAGCAGAGCCTCCTCCAGTCCTTGTCTTAGCCTGCTGAAATCAGTAGGTGGCTCTCTGCAAGCTATGCAAGGATTTTGAAAACTATTCTCCAAGCTGTCTTATCAAATTTCTCCTAGACTAATCCTGGTAATCAGTGGGACCCCAGGGGGTAAAAACAAACAAACCCAGAAAAAAAAGGACCTTGTTACCCTCTTTGTTAACTGAGAACTAACCAGACCTAGGGCCCCAGCTTTCCTGGTCCCCTGCCTTGCAGAGACTTCAGGTTCCATGTCCATATCGCCTCTGGCAGTTATTTGTGTCTCCCACCTTCTTTTTCTCATAGAAGTCATTTCATTTTTCTCCACCAATGGCCTCTGCTATCTACCTTTAAGGGCAGAGACCTTTAGGAAGATGGGTGCCAGCGCCTTGAGTCCTGTCCTTCTGAAGGGGTGAGGTCTGCAGTGGAGAGTGGCTGACACACACAATTCTTTCTCAAGGCAGCTGGAGGCTTGCATGCAAAAGTCAACCAGTAGCCATCTTCTGCCTCCATCTAAAACTTTGTGGTCATACTGCTCCTTCTCTCCCCTAACTTTCTGGAGGCACCAACTGGCCCTGGCTCCTGGCCTGTTGCAACTGTGGTTAGCATTTCCAGAATATTCAGTCCCCTTGCTTTCAGCAGAAGTCCCACACTCTAAGGGGTAGCTGCATTTCTAGAGAAGATGCTCCATGCAAAGTGTTGGGATCCAAAGCAGTAAAGGCTAAGCGCCCACTCTGCCTGTCTACGCTCTCATTGATCCTGTGTGCTCAGCGAAGGCACCCCCTGAGACCTGGCGTTTCTCAGGCACAACTGCTTCCTAAAGTGAATCCACTTCAGGAAACTAATGACAGTTCCTTGAAATGGTTCTCTCCAGCAAATCTGTGCAGCCCGACCTTAGCGGCAGGGGGTCAGGGAAGCACAAGGCAGTTTCCCCTCCCCTCAGCTGGCCACTCCCCAGCGCAACGGCCCAGAACGTGCTGGGAGAAGCAGGCGGGAGCGCGCTCAGATGCTCTTGGGAGTGCGAGCCGTATCCAAACTCCGGCGCAAAGTTGCACACGTTCAAAGGCAATAGACACAGCCGCCCGGCTCCTGCTGCCGAGTAGGTAGCAAGCGGCTCGGGGGCGCTTTCAGAAGTGGCCAGAGATCCTGGAGCCAAGCAAAGACTCCGCCGGCGGGGCCATTCGGTTCCCGACGCCACAATGATCTGACGCCTCGGTGCTGAGGGAGGCGCCGAAGCTGTCCCGGACCCTGCGGGTCCTCCTTCTCCCCTAAAATCCCAGGAGGTGGCCGGCAACTCCAGAACCAGCCCTTCTGAGGGCACAAGGCCACTCAGGACGGCGCAACCAAGTCCAAGAGCAGGAAATTGCAGTGTTTAGCGCGTCTGGGAAGAGGTTCAGTGAAACGCTATCCCCTCACTCCCCAAGAGGAGAGGAGAGGCGGGGAGAAGCGGGGAGGGGTGGACCCAGAGCGAAGCTCTAGCTGGCGCCCCCTGAAGCGGGATAGACGCGGGGCCGCGGGCCGGCGGCGCGCAGTTTACCTAGCTCTTCGTCGTCCTCCGGGCCAAGTAGGCGGCAGGGAAGGCGGCTGCGGAGGCGCACAGTGCGCCGGTACAGGCTGTCGGTGCGGCATCCCAGGGCCAGCAGGTGCCCCTCTAGGTCCTCGAGCAGACCCAGCGAGTGGCCACAAAGGTCGGCGAGCTGCCGGAGTAGGTTGAGCGCGGCCAGGTGGCTCACGTCGCGGAGCTCAGCCAGCGGCTGCGGCGGATTGCGCGGACACAGACGCTGGGGCACCACGGTGCGCCTGTAGAACGGCATCCCGGGCGCGGGTGCAGGGGACCAGCCTGGCGGCTCGGCCGGCTCGCCCGTACAGGCGTCCCTGACCCGAGGGGCCCTGAGAGGCGGACCCAGCTCCGGGTCTAGCAGGCCCCTGGGCGTGGACAGGCGAGCGAGTGGGCGCCAAAGACGCCGGGCGGGTGGGCGGGCTGATGGGTTCACAGCCTAGAGCGCCGGCTCCCCCGCCACCCCCCGCCCCGGGGCTGCACACTCGCCGGAGCCACCAGTCCCTCTGACTCTGTTTCGCCGGGCTCCTCCTCCTCCTCCCCGCCTTTCTCCTCCTCCTCAGTCACACTGCTACTTCGGGATCCCCTCACCTTTTTTTTTTTCTTTTGCGGTCAGAGATTCGCAGATTAACGCTTGATCCTGGAGAGGAGGGAAGTAGAAGCAGAAAGACAGCTGGAGCCTGAAAAGAAGGAAGGGGAAGCGGTGGTGATGTTCAGGGCAGGGTGTATGCCTGCGTCCTCCTTCCTCCTGCAGAGCTCCAGGTACTGATGGTCAAAGTTGTTTTCTGCTTTGCTTTTAAACTTAAACTCCTTCTTCGTAAGTGCTGAATATTGAACTGCGCAGGAGCCCACATCATCAGAGACCAACGGACCAAATAGTCTTCATTCCTGTAGCTCCCTCAAACATATATTCTATGTCATGCTCCCAGCTAGATTAGGCTGTGAATACAAACAGCTAGTGCCAAAGAGCTTGCAAATAAGGAGGAAAGAACCAAGTATCTTGTTCTACAGCTCAGAGGGGAAGTCTGTCTGGGGAGTCCCACAGTGCCTGGACTTCTGTAAAGGCCTTGGAATGAATGAATGCAAACAACCCCAATTTTATGGAATAAGGACACTATTTCATTTTATATGCAAAAAGAGAACTCAGAGCTGCTTCCTTCTGGTGGAGTCTGCCAGCTGGAATAGGCTTCATCCCTGGCCACAGTGGGCTCCTGAGGTGTCCCAGAGAAGACTGTACAGGAACTGGGGTGTGCTTCAGTGCTGCCATGCTGTCATGTCCAGATTTCTTCAATTTTATAAGGTAGAAAAGAGATGACATTGTCATCCTCAGAAAACCAAAGTGGCTAAGTGCCTGTGTACTTGGGAAGTTTCTCCTCAGAGCACTTCTTTTCTACACACTGAGCTGGCATCTGCTTCTCCTCTAACACACTTTGACTGATGTGCTTCCGTTTCTTCTCCCTCCTAATTCTCTCATCTTTTCTCCTACAAATATTCACATCCTTATAATCCTTTATAATCTATTAACAAAACACTGAACAGAATACCGTGTCTTCACTAATGATCCTGAGTGTGGCCTGTTTCCATTTATTGCTTCAGAGAATTAATGGTCCCTTAAGCAGTTCAAGAAGGCTCTACAAGTATATTTCAAAGTTGCTTTTGGAAAAGTAGATTTTCAATGTTTACACTACAAAAATAGGTGATTAGCTTAATTTAATCATTTGACAATCTATACATACATCAAAACATCATACTGTACTCAAATAGTCAATTAAAAGTAAAATAAAGAATGCTGTAATCCATTTAGCCTGATCAGTAGTTATTCTTCGCTTAATAAATTAGAACATGGATACCAGAAAAGTTGGGTTCTAATAAAAATAAGAATCACAAAATGAGCAAAAGGTAACTTCCTTTCTAAATTGTAAAGTCCAGTTGTAGAATAAGAATTTCAAAGTTTTCTATTTGGTCAACTCAAACCTAAGCCAAGACAGTGACTGGCAGGAAGTAGAGACTTGGTTGGGCTCTCCAGAGATACATTTCCTTGACCTATGAGCTGCTTAGACTGATCTCTGCTCTGAAGAAGAAATGAGGTATGAGCAGATTGAAGGAGACTGCGTGGGCAGTTTTGCAGCCTGAGCATGGCAGGCCTGGGCTGAGACTGGTGACTGAGCCACCCTCTCTATTCTGATTCCTGAAGCTGATGAATCTTTCCAAGCTCCATAATAACAAGCTCAACTCCAAGCAACTCAGCTTTGGCCCCTTTCCCTTCCCCTAGCCTCATTTGCTCACTCCAGCCTCTTCAATGATACTGTCCTGGCTTTCATCAAGGAAACATGAAGGACTTGCAATGGAGCCACCTGAGAGCAGAACCCCTCCTCCCTTCCCAGAACTGCACTGGGACTGCTTGTATGATGGAAGAGGCCCAGGCAGTGTCTTCACCCTCTTTCTTAGTTCTGGTCTCTTCCCAGTAGGAAAGGTGAGACCTGACTGAAGGGTTGCCTTGGGTGCAAGAGGCGGAACTGGATAGAGACAGCCCCAAGGGAAGCAGCACAAGGGGCTTGGCTCTGGTCTGTGGGTGGACAGTCGTGATTCTAGAAGTGTCACACTCCAGCCAAGCTCACCAAGCAAGAAAGTAGCCAGGAGAAGGGTCTTCATCACCCTCCAGCACAGCATCCTAAGGGTAATATGATCATGCTTGTTTAATAGTAATATTTCTTCATAATAGTATTGTCTTCCTTACTTAGATTGTTAGCTCCTGAGAGCAGGAGCCGTGTCTATCTTGTTCACTTCTGTATGCTCATTGCTGAGACTAGTGACTGCCACATAGTAATAAATGAAGCTGGATTATAGGCAGAGCCAGATATGAAGAGCTTATCAAATGGTTTAACTTGCCCAAAGGGGCAATAGTCACTGTGGTTTCTGGAACAAAACATTGCCTGACGTGAGGAAGGAGGAGGGGCTTAAGAACTTTTCATCTGGAGGCAATGTGGAGGCCAAGGCTGCTATGCCCACTTGCACCCACATCCTCAGAGCCGAGTAGCCAGTAAGTGCTCTGTGAATTAAACATTTGTTTTGATTTGCCTATAAACCTGGCAGTACATATTCAGGAGGGGAGAGAGGGAAGAAAGGTGCAAAGGGGAAAAAGCCAGACCTAAAAGCACTGGATACTTCCTACCCACCAGCCAACTCTCAGGCTCCAGGCTTATAGTATTTCCTCCTGTCACCATGCTTGGAGTTGCAATCTAAGCCTAAATTGGGACCACCTGTGGAATTGGACACAGATCTGACCCAGAAACAGAACAGAAAGACTGGCAGAGAGGCAGGAGGGAACCAGGAGAGTTGACCACTCGTGGTCAGCAAGGTCTTGGTTTCCTCCCCATCTCCCTTCCTTTCTTCGTAGTTTGTTATAAAGAACCTAGAATTTCAGCTGGCATGATGGCACACATGTGTAATCCTAGCACTTGGGAGGCTGAGGTAGGATGATTGGAAATTTCACTCCAGCCTGGACTACATAGTGAGACCCTATCTCAAAACAAAACAAGTAAACAAAAAGAACCTAGAATTTCAATAAAGAATGAATTTGAAAGAATGAACAAAGGGCATAGGTTATGCCATTTTTCCTCTTTCAAGCTAACAGTGTCCATATCTGCAATATGAAAATGTATGAGCAAACCTCATACAACCAGCCCAGCTTCCCAGTAAGGCCCTCAGAACTACTCCAGGATGAGGAACAAGAAAACTGTCTCCACGTGGCTACTTCTCAAATATATCCAAATAGTAGCAACTTGGCTAAGAAGGGAAGCCAGTTTTCTCTTTAATGTTCCTCCATAATCAATCTTTTAAGTGTTTTTGTTTGTTTTGCAGTTTTGTTTGGTTGGTTTTGGGTTTTTTTGCAGCGCTGCAGATCAAACCAGCATGCTAGGCAAATGCTGTACCCCAAGCCTGTTTTATCTAAATTTTAAGAACACACATTCCAGGAGCCGGGGATTTAGCTCAGTGGTGCCACGCCTGCCTCGAAAGCACAGGGTCCTGAGTTCGATCCCTGTATCAAAAAAAAAAAAACAAAAATAAAAACAAAAAGAACATACATTCCACCCCATGCCCCTTTGCTATGAGATTCAGGAAAGATGCTTTCATCATGAATGAGAAAAAAATACATACCTGCTAGGGGATAAAAAAGGCTGTTCATCAATCCCAATTCTAACATTTCCCTGGCTCTGAGTGTCTGTACCAAGAGAAATTAACGAAAATTGGCAAATAGTAGATGGACTCTTTTTTTAAATATCATTTACCCTTTTTGGTATTAATGTTTGGCTCTGCCGTTAAAAACACAAGTAGGGCCGGGGATTTAGCTCAGTGGTTCCAGTGCCTGCCTTGCAAGCGCAAGGTCCCGAGTTCAATCCCCGGTACCAAAAAAAAAAACAAAACACACACACACACACACACACACACACACACACACAAGTAGACTCTCTTTCCTCAGACAGGCAGGCCAGTAGCCCAAAGAAAGGGAACTGGCAGCTTTTTAATGGGAATAGAGCCTATAATTCAATCAACAATGCAGACAATATCAATGCCAGTCAATGGTACACAATGAGAAGAGTGGGAGCACTAAGGGAATCAGTGCTACAAGATTTGAGAGGAAAAAGTATACTTCTGCCCTGGAAGCAACAGAGGCTTCCAGAGTAGAGAGGATCTGGGGGCAGAGGGGCTGGAAACTTGCTTGACCATCAGTCACCTCCTACAGCAATAGATGTGAGTCAAAGATGGCTCAAGGTCTAAGATAAATTCCTTTCAACGAGACTCAATGTTTCACACACACAGGGCAAACCCTTCAAGAATTCCATGGGGAGGGAAAAAAACCTCTTTATTTCACAAATAAACTTTGATGTTACTTGAACTTTGGCCCTGACTCTGAGCCCAGGCTGAAACTGCAAGACAAGATTTGCAGTATTTTTGAAAGAAGCTATGGGAGACTTCAGCAGAATATGAACAGATTCTTTTTCTATCCCTTATCCTCATGTCGTATGTAGATCCTCTCTCACTATCAATCTTCTGCCCACTCCCATCCCCACTCCCATCCAACGCTCATGTTTTCTTTCCCTATTTGATTAAGATGACACTATTATTAGGAAAATTCAAATGTTGCTATATCCAATAGGGAATTTTATCTTAACATCCTTAATTTACTCAGAAAAAATCCTATTAGGCCACTTCCTGCCTGCCATATGCACAACCTAAAAACCACTACCCCTCCCCTGAAATCCCTGTCTCTCCCCAGAATCCTAAAGCAGTAAAAGTCCTTAATCTCCCTGAGATGGGCTATGTATGTATACCACATGATGACATATCCTCAATACGTTTGATATTAAGACTTGGTTTAGGTAATAGCCACA